GGGTATCTGGAATGTGTACACATACTGAGCAGAACTGAGTTATGGGGCCACCATGACTTGAAATCCTATCAACTCTGCTGGAGCCCAGCCCAATTAACTATATAATAAATCATGAGCTTTTCCATTTTGGATTAATATCATACATAGTTATATAAACCATTACAAAAGGGCTGCTTCAAAGTGTGTTTATGGAGTACCTGTACTAAAACTTGAAGCAGTTTCAAAAAAGGTGAAATGCATCAATTCTAGATGTACTAAGTGTATGGGTATCCACAGTAGTTTGCTTATTTTCAACTTACTATAGGTATGTTTATTTCAAAAACTGTTTTAAATTTGCCCCTCACTTCCATGTGCTCAGGGAGAGGCGGGTGAGGAAAGGGGGGTCATCTCACCCCCAGATTTATTTTCGTTACTGTAGGAATGGGAAAGGGACAAATTCAAAGCAAATCTCCAATCATTAGATTCTATACCTGGAACACTATAACTAATTTATACGTTTTCCATATATAGAATCTAATTATTATGGGGTCATCTTATATTCAAGTAAAATGGTAACTGAAACGGATTATTCTATACCCTGTTCTTCAACAGCAGAAATTAGAAATCCTAAAAGATGGACAGGAGGCAAGCAGACACAAGCACCAATAGCACAACTCCCAATAAAATAGGTGTTTGTGTTAAATGCGGTGTGAGCAACCGACTACCTAATAGCTTATACATTTACCTGCACAGTAACTGTGATTATTTTTCTTAGTTCACGAAGTGTTCTGAGATACCACGGGGAAAGAGTAAGACTACCAGTACAGCATATAAAACATTTTTAAATATAGCCAGTACATGAAGTACACAAAGGAGTTCCATTTCTGTATTTCTGCCTCGTTTCCTGTTTGGTTAGAAAATAGATATTTTATATACGATTCTGGAAATACACATGCACCATTTTTCAGCTGGCCAGTTCCTCAGTTTTAAAGCATTATTTGAAACCACTGGGGCTTAATTCAAAAAAATGCTGAGCACAAAAATGCAACTGAAACCAAGGGGAGCGATGTTCTGAACAAATAAAAAAAGCTATGTATTGCCAAGCTCCCGGGGGGGGGGAAAATCAAACTAGAGATATCAAAGTGAACTCCCAACATTACTGTACACGTGATAATTTCCCTGTACTGTTCCCCATCTGCAAAATTTAAACAATACTGCCTCACCTCCCAGAGCCATTATTAAATGTTAATTAATTCATTTTAAAGTTACAATGCCATTGCCCATGGGGATATTAATATATCCAAAATCAAAGCAACGGTGTAACAATGGGCAAATTTCCAAGGCATGGAGCCACATATCGAGCAATGAACATATTAAATCACTGTTCATTCCAGCCCTAACCATACATTTATACAGGACATTGATTTAATTACACCAAAAGCAAAGCAGACAGTTTAACATTTATTCCAGGGTACAGACTCAGAAAAGATGGTATTACAATGCTGTCTAGTAGGCGGTGACAAAGCATCCTGAGCAAACAGCTACTCACTGGAAGTACTCATTCTCCTGCCAGTGTAGTCTTATCTCTGATTTTTCTCAAAATAATTCTAATAATTAAAATAAGTTATACTGCTGTAAAGATTTACATCAAATGTCTGGTCCACATTTACACCTCTGTATGAGCAGATTACACTGGAGTAACTGGGTCATGTCCCAACCCTTAATGCACCGAATGAGGCAGGAGTCTTGTGGAATATAGTATGTGATCACGTAATGGTCGACTAGCTCAATGCACATACACAAGTAAGCCAAATTACAGAGTTGGACAAGAAATGCAATAATTCTGGAATTTATTAATTCTTGAAGAGCTTAACTTTCCACAGAACTGTTATAGTTAAAATGCTGAAGTTGCAGTCCACTGGAATTATATACACGCAAAGTGAAATATAATTCCATATGGCAGAAATTGCATTAACTTCCACAAGTCATCAATAAGATTAGAACCTTTAGATCAAAATAATGACCTCTGCTACTTAAACTAAAGGAGGAACTGACAATAGCTGGTTGTTACCCTCTGTGACCTAATCATATTGAAAGAACTTATCTGCTGAACTCTTAAGTCTGAAAAAGTGGGAACAGATTTTCAAAACTGATAATCTGGCCAAATTTGGGGGCATTTCATGAGAATGGCAAAGCACATCTCCTGGAGCCAGTCATCTCCCAAATCTAAAGTCCTGGCTTCAAAGCCAGGTGATACTTCTCAACAAAATGACAGTAAAAGTTGTAGAAGTATGTGCTGGTTTGTCCTTTCATTTTAAAATAAACCATTCTTCTTGTTCAAGGAAACAGAAGAACTGTTTCTGCTAAAATTTTCTCGGTATAACAGGAATCAGCTTAAGACAGATATTCAGTATGGAAAACTTCAGCCCAACTGGTTAAATTCTGAGAGGGTTAAGTGAGTGAAACCCAGCACTTATAGGTGGTTTAAATAGTCCAACACTTGCCACTATAAGAAAGAAGATAATGTGGAAAGTAAAGACTAACTATTTACATGCAATTAAAGTGTGCCTCGTAACAATCAACAACTGCACATTACAACAAAACGTCTGGTTGCTAGCAGCTGGAAAATAAAAAAGCAGAGAGAAGACAAACAACGATTCTGTTTTCATGCAAATGCTGTTAAAAGTTAAAAAAAAAAAAGAGAGATAAGAATTCAGAAAATAGGACATAAACCAAATTGTTTCAAAGTCTGTTCAAGGTTTCCATGAGCCATCAGCAGCTTTTTATCATCTCACAAGAGCAAGAGCAACTTGGTAAGTTGCAAGATACCCCTATTCTTAAAATACAACAAAAGCAAAAACTTATTGCATGCCACATTGCAACATACATTACCAGAATGCAGACAAGATTTTAAAGGAATTAGTCATGAATATGTAAAACAAGACTGATATAAAGTAAAGTTTCAATTATGATGTTTTATAAAACATACAAATATAAATTTCAGTATAATCAAGGATTTGAGAGAACTCTCCATCTCGATTAAAACATATTGTACAATATATCAGAGGTTCTCACCTTGAGTGCCAGGAAAAACAGAAATTAAGATAACACCAAATTCACGGTATTTTTATAATATTATGCCAAAATACCTGCTCTGGATTTGTGCACATACATGATGTGAAGACTGAATTCAAGTCCATATATCTGAAGTAAGGGATGGTTTCATATGCCAGCAACTAATAAGACCTAGAGGCATCCAAGCAATGAGCTTGCTCTGTCACCAATGGTAGTCTCAGGGAAAGAACAAACTTGCATTCTGTAAGCCTGAAACATGATTGCCCCCCCATATTTTCATTTTCTTCATTTCGTCCTCAGAAAGGGCCTCTCTCATTTCATTCTCCCAGTTGAACCTACACTGCCAGTTTCAGCTGTGCTAATTTCCAGTTTCCAAACAGTATGTGAGCACACACTGGTTTTTAATTATTTTGAGGGTCACCTGCCCGTCACCTAGAGTATGACGCTGCTTTTGTTACCTTCCTCAATCTCAATAGCTGATCTTAGTTTACAGGAGGCAGAGAAGCAAAGATATGAATTACAACAATGAAAAGTATAATTACGTCAATTTTCTTAATCGTTAATACCTTGTAAATAATTTCCATTTACACTCCTGGCATTGGGAACAGATTTTCATTCATCTTCAGCCTCCTTTTTGTATTTACTTCCAGACTCTAGAAGTCATTATGACAAAATAAACTAATTGAAACTCAGGAACCCTCATCCTCCCTAAATCCCTCAATTACACCTCTAAATTACCCAAAGCATTTATAGTTTGTTTTAGCTGTACTACCTCTCTATAGACATAAAGGAACCTGTATATGCAGTCTGTAGTTCTTTCCAGCATCTAGATGGTGAAAATATAACCTGCTTCTTACATTTGCACCAAGTACTCAACTCTGAGCACTCAAATATTCCAACACATGAAGCAGTGTCCTGGAGAAAAAGAAACTTAGCTCACTGTTGAATCTGGAAAAAAAAATCTGGTTATAGTCTATTCATAAATATTTTCAAGTGATCGCCCAGTTACCAGAACACAACGTACAAATTGTAATAGTTTGCATCTACACTTTCCAAAAGGCTCCTGTTAAGTTTATAGATCCAGTACTAAGAAATTAATTTAAGTACTTCATCTTTATTTAAGGGGGGGATTTTATCTACATTAGCCATGGCAGGAATTTTTTTTTTTTTAATGTAGATTCTTCCACTTGCCCAAACTAAGTTATCTAAGACTAAAGCACTATGTATTTCCTAATTCTTTCAGCTTCCCTGTTGCTCATTTTAGGGAGTTGGCATGGACTAACTACTTCAGTGATTTATTTTTTATATGCAAGTTTACAAAACAGGAGATTAAATTATCAGGGAAGTATACATTATGTAATTCTACTTCTTTCAATAATGATTTTGATTTAAGATTACCTTTCGTAGGCTCTTTAAAATGTGAAAATATTAGTTGAGAGCAAACAACGTTAAGCCATTTTGTTCAAGATTTAAGCTTTCAAAAACATTCTTTGTATGTGTACAGAGACTCTAGTTCTTGATTCTCAAAAGCGAGGTAAATTACAAAAAATATGTGGAGTTAACAGTATGTTAAAAAAATGTTGTATGGAACCACACATAGTACCAGACTTGGAAGGGTCAGATTGTATAACCAACTGAAACAAAACTGAACCAATCTCAGTAAGAAATTAAATACTAATGGTATGATGTGGCCCAGCAATTTTTAAGTAGTTTACTTGTATAATCTGATGCCCAAAGTAATCTCAAGTCATAAAAGTATTTGTCTGCATTTTTTAGGATACCAAAAGAACATTTTATTGAGCAAATCTTTACAGTAAAAATGCCTTAAAATATTCAACAAGTAATATTATTGCTTCTTCAAATCTAATTTAAAACAGTTTATGGAATTTTCTTCTTAATAGAAGTCTCAGGAGTGTGACTGGATAATATCAGTGATATCTTTACAATTTTGTGAATAATGGGTTTTTATTAGTATTAAGGTAAAGCAAACAACCAGAACAATACATATGCAATATCTACTACACACATTATAAACGTAAAGAAAGCAAATCATAACCTCAGCAAAAACCAAAAAAAAAGGATGATGAAAAGCATGACACCACCATTGTGGTTATGGTCCAATCCACTCCTGGGCACTGTATTTAGAGAGCAGAAGCAGCATGCTGCACTAAAATTAAATAAGAATGAACTACATAATCAAGTACAGAAAAAAGGTTAATGGAATTAAAATGAATACTGTAAAGCAAAACTTATATTAGTAACAAGATGAAACAAGCTACAAGTTTTGTTTGGGTTTGATTTTTAGTGGTGAGGGATAGTGGGAGATAAATTACCCAGTTTTTTGTAACAATTTGTTTAATAATTCCATAGTTTTCAAAACACCACTTTCATAACAGAAGTGTTTTACACTTGCACAATGTTAATTACTTTATTATACATGGAAGCCTGTAATAGGCTGGTTACACAATAAGACTGCAAACAACCACTGGTACTTTTCTGACATCAGAAAAGTACGTTAAGACTGAAACATCACCAAGAGTACGTAAAAACTATCAGCATAAACATCACCAAAATTACATTAAAAAAAACTAATCAAAAATACATTTGCAAAAAAGTGGTTTAGAGCAGTGCTACTGCCTTTCAGCAGCTTTGAACAGCCACCAGTATTTTTAACAGGTTTCCGTGGCTCCACAGGCATTCATCAGGATTCACACATATAATAAATAATGTACCACAAAATATACATAAAACAAGGCAATAATTCCACAAAGAGTTCTGTCAATATTAACAAACCACTTGAGTTCTTACTCTTGCAGTTTATGTCATCACCAGAAACCTCAGATGGAATTCCAGCCTTAGGCCCCAAGGCTGCAACCACATACTGTTGTAGATCCCTATACCCATAAGGAATCCCAGTTACATCACTGGCACCCTGTTAGGCAGAGGGATCTACATGAACTGATCCTGATGCAGAATCAGGGCCTTACTATGTACAATTGGGAGTATATTATTTCTTATTGTACATGGAAACCTTAACAGAATTATATAATCATTGGGTGTTTATATTTTTATTCTAGAACTAATGCCGTAAGACATCAGAAAAAACGCGGAATAAGTTACGCACTTTCCGGAATGTGAATCTTTTTTAATTCCAACTGTTAAACTAGGGATGTGAGGGAGGGAGTAGTCAAGGAAGGACCACAAACCACAAGAGGTTAAACTGTGGAGGACAACAAAAGATGGAGGAAAAAGGATTTACACTAAAAAAAGGGAGGGAAAGGGAAAAGACTAAAAAGACCATTTGTTTTGAACCATGTATAATAAATAATCTATCCCAAAAGCGTGTATAACTTATAACGGTAGTTTCAAGTTGGGGTTCTAACGACATGAGCCAGCTACACAAGTTTTGTTCTCACGGTTATGTCATTAGAACTTCTTCATGGAATTTACAGCCTTACATAGGAGTTCCAGGGACATTATTGTTTATATTAAAGCTACTGTTCTGGGCTTTTTCCAATAATCCAAAAATATTTGCCTCACCCATCTGGAATGAGCAACACTTAGAAAAACAGGAAGATGTTAAAAAGCTACAACAAGATGTAGATAGCAAAATTCTCAAAGTTTTGGATCAGCCCAGATTTTAAAAACAGCAATTTGAAATGTCTTACATCCCTTCCTTAAAATATTGAAATAAATTTGTCACTATCTGTTAACTGGAAGTTCCAACACACAAGTGGTGCATAGAATTCCCATGCTTCATTACACTTTCCTGAGAGTAAAACAATTAGAATAAACCTTAATCCTAGGAACAAATTTTTTTTTGTGGTTTTTTTTTTTTTGTTTTTTTTGCATTTTAAACTTTTGAGCTATTCCCTGACAATCTATTTATGTAAATCTGATTGCTAAACATTGTCACTTGAACATAAAAAAACCCAAAAAAAACCTATTTTACTCTATTTGATTTTTGATTAAAAACCATAATAACAAAACAGACCTAAAAAAAAAAAAAAAAAGTCACACTAACAAAATTAACTAAATATGAAAAGTTGCATTGAAAGGGCATGTTACATTATTCTTAATAGGACCGTGTAGAAACATTCCAATGGCAGTGTTATCAAAGTAAAACAAAATTACATTAAAAAAAAGACCCTCAGCCTGGTCACACTTGTGACCTTACCTGTAACTCTGGCTGGTAGGGGTTTTTACTCGTGTACTACATGGCTCGCTTACATCAGACATCATATTTGAATACCCTGAGAAATCTGACACTGAAGTCCGTACTCTATGGTCCACTTCTCCATTAGAGTTAGTAATAAAAGTCATTGGCACCCTGCTGCCCGACTTAAATTGAGAACCAAACGCTTGTGCAAAGTTCTCAATCTGGTAGGTCACTCTAGGCTCTAGGTCCTTCTGAGGATCTATCTGGCTCGCTAACTCCTGAGACGGAATTTGAAAGCTCGCTGAAGATTCTAAATTTTTCTGTTCCTTCTGGCTAGTCAATTTCTGAGATGTAGACTGGTAGTTTGATGAAGTCTCTAAATGTTTCTGTGGATCTATCAGATCATCCAGCTCTTGAGAAGGAGTCAGTTGTTGATGCGTAGCCTCCAAAGCTGATAAATAAAAACCTGGCTGAGATCCAAGCAACATCCCAAACGGAGGCTTTGGCAATGCAGTTGGCAACACTGAGGTAACAGATTGGCTGAAACCACACTCAAGTGGAGACGTAGTGTAGATCTGTTTGTCTTGAAACAGAGTGTGGTTATGCAGAGTTGAAGACAGACTAACAAACTGGAAACTGGGTCCAAAAGGAAAACCAGTGCTATTGGTCGTTCTTTCAAAAGCTTGTTGGAGGTATTTGGAGTATTCTTGCAACATGTTTGCCTTATCACTTGAAACTGTTTGAGAACTTGGGCTCAAATTTTCCTCCTGGACCATTTCTGGATGCTCTCCTGAAGCATGCAAGTCCACACGCTGTTCAGTTATATTGAAAGGATCTTCTTTCTGGCCTTCTGACTTGTGAGCATACTGGTCCAAGAGACTCTGCAACACTTCATCAGGAATTCCAGACTTATCATGGCAAGACTTTATTTCAGTATTTAGAGATGCTGAATCAATAAGAGATAACGGAGTCTCGTTATCCATAACACTGACACCTGCAGATTGGATGACAGACTGTTGGGAAGTCATGTGTCCAACATTTATAGAAAAGGCACTGTTACTGCTGGCAGTTTGTAAATATCTTCTTTTCTTTGAAAACTGCATGGCATCATCATAGTTGCTACTTAACTGAGCTGGTTTACCACCTGTACTTTGAAGAAGTCCAATAGCTTCCACACCAGTATTGGTTGCTATTCCAAGAGAGCCACTTTGTTTTCCAGACAATGGTTTCTGCCCAATAATATCTGGCAATGGTGACACAAAATTAAGGTAATTCTTGTCTGCATTTTTTCTGTTTCCTTTTTTGAAAACTAACTTTGGCACCTTTTTTTGCAACTCTTCTATGCCAGTGCCAACTATGCCACCACTGGAAGACACGATAGGAAGCTCTACTGCATAATTCGGCATGTTCATATTATTCAGGACTTGTGGTTCAGTTACTTTATTACTCGACTTACTTCCTTTGTTTTCAGTGGATATACTTTTTGTTTTGTTTTTTCTCCTTGAGGAACTTGCATTTCCCTGAGACAACGCAGCCAGGCTACCCATGTTGTGGTTCGATGACCCAGGTTCCATTCCAGCATTTGCTTTAGCTATGGCTTCACCACATGTTCGTCTGTGCTTCAGAAGTCTATCGGTCCTTGAAAAATACTGCTGGCAAGTGTCACATTTGTATGGCTTTTCTCCGCTGTGTGTCCTCTTGTGTCTTTCCATGTGGTATTTCTGGATGAACTTCATGCTGCACTGGTCACATCCGAATGGTTTCTCCCTGCTGTGGATCTTCTCATGCCGCTGGAGCAAGTACTTCTGAATGAAACCCATGCTGCACTGGCTGCACTGGAAAGGCCTCTCCCCGGTGTGAATGAGCACATGCCTGCGCAAGTGGTAGGAGCTCCTGAAGGCCGCGCTGCAGTGTTCGCAGACATGAGGCTTCTGACTCGGGGACGCCAGGGCCCCTTCGGCATCACCCGCCAGCTGGGGCGGCTTGGACGAAGCGCTCGGCTTCCGCTTGGCTTTGATTCCCTGAGTTTCTGGCTTTGGCCTCTTTGCCTTCCGGGCCTGGGCAGCCTCGTGCTTGGGCTCGTCACAGCCCCCCATGGGGCCCTCGCCCCGGCCGCCCAGCAGTGCGTCACGGTGCGGGTGCTGGTGCAGGTGATGGTGGAGCAGGCTGAGGTCCTGGATCACGCTGGGCCCCACTGCCTCCCCGCTGCTGCCCCCCAGCAGCCCGGGGGGCCTGTCCTGCCCAAAGAGCCCCGCCGCAGAGCCCACGCCTGCCCCGTAGGGGTGCGGCGACTCCTCCTCCTGCTCACTGGGCTTCTCCTGCTTGATGCTTACCAGGGACTGCAGGAAGCCCCACGGGCTGCGCTGGGAGGAGGAAGAGGACGAAGCAGGGGAGGAGGCGGGGAAAGCCCCGGCCGGCTCCTTCTTGAAAGTCATGTCCTGAGGCGGCGGGGGTGGCGTCTGGGAGGAGGCCGAGGCCGAGACGGAGGTGGAGGCGGCGGAGGCCGAGGGCAGCCCGCAGGGCGGCGGGTGCTGGGCCGGCGGCGGCGCGGCCGCGCGGGTGAAGCTGGTGACCGGGGGCAGGCGGTGGTTGAACATGACCATGGTGGGGGGGAACGTGGGCTCCATGGCCGCAGCCCGCTTGCTGCTGCTGCTGC